AGGGGAAGAGAAAGATTATGAAAAATATGTCCCTACTAACTCTACATTGGAAAACTAATCACTACAAAGCATAAGCAAGCCATAATCTCTTTATTAAATGTTGAACTGACAAAGTATTTAAAAACTAACTCAAGTTTTTAAGAAAACTATAGCTTGCAGACTCTCTCAAGAGGATTGCACATGGATTTAAACATTGAGGTAGCAGCTTGGAAGTAAAGCAGAGTGGGCAACAGTGCTCAGAATCAAGAGAATATTTTTAAAGTTTCATAGTAAAACTGACAAACTCCAAGAATAAACAAAATGTAGAACCCAAGTTCAGCATCCTCAAACACAAACCAAAATCCTGTAAATGTACCTGTCAGTATTTCTGAGTGGATAAGATATCCTGGCTTTAAAAAACAGAGGGAAGAAACTACTACAGCTACTTATTTCCTTTATCATAAACCTCTTGTGTGCCATGTATATCCCAGGAGCAGCTCTCCTTAAAAGTCTTCTAAATATTTGTTCACAGCACTGGGCTTTAAGTCTAAACATTTAGGTTTCTAAAGTTATCTCTCAGGCCTGTTTAGAGTCTTGTATGCTTTTCAAATAAAGGCCTCAATTATTTGTTCTCATACTCAGTATGTTTGTCTGCCTCTTCTAAATGGAGCCAGCAGTTTCTCTTTTCATTTCATTGCTGTTTTGAAAGTAACCATTTTCACTCATTTTCAAACTCTCCCCTTTCTTTTCACCAGCCTTGATGTTTATCAATGGGAAGCATTTAATTTTTTTATGACTGTGGTGGGCCAGTAAAAGAGATTTCCCAGTAAATAAGATGTGGCCCAGTGTTGGCAAACCTTTGCTCACGGGTATAGACATGAGGGTCAAGAGGGCTCCTCCTTGCATGAATAGCTCCTTTATCATTAAGCTGATGTTTCACAATCGGGATGGAGCAATGAAGAGTAAAAGTAAGGAACTGGAGAAGAGGGAAATGACTGAATTGCCCTACATTTGCTTCAGTCTCCAAAAGCCATTCCTACAGCAGGGCAGGTGAAGGTGTCACTACTGTAGATCTCTGCCTTCTCCCCCTTCCCAAAGAGTCCCAGGACTTTGGGCCACAGCAGCAAGTGGCAAGGACAAGCCATAGACTTTTATCAACAGAGGTGTTACACTATTTTTAAGATTCTACAATGCTGATAAATATGGCACAGATACATCACTATTAAAAATGTTTATTTTTGCAGTTATTCCACAGTGTTATGAGACATTTCTATTCCAAGGTAAATGTACATAATGAGGAGAGATTAAACAGTTCCTTCTGTCAATACATGGCTGTAGCTGAGTGTCTTTGAAGGCCTACATGAACTGTCATGTGAAGCATCTCAGCCCCATTTTCATTTGAGCAATCAGCTTTACCCAAAAGAGCATGGGCAGACAGTAACCAGCCTATACACTGTCCAGAGTGAGTCACCTTTAAAATCAGGGTCTAGTTAGCAATACTCCAAGAAGAGCTTAAGTACTTTCTATACCTCTTATAGTTATGACAAGTAATATGGTACTTAAAATAATGAGAAGCAAATGGATGCTTTGCATAAGAGACTTCTAAAAGTTGTTTTTAAACAAGTTTAGTTTTAGGCGTTTCTCAGTTTGGGCTGGGGCAAAAGGCTTTCTTTTTAGCATATCCTAAAATACTCAGCTTGTGAGTTTTCTGAAAGTGTTAAACACGCTTCAATAAACATTTATTGCACTGTAATACATTGTGAAATCATTATTACAGAATACAAACTTTAGACAGTATTTGATCTAATACAACCCACTTAATAACCATTTATGTGATTTTTACAGAGATACTAGTCTGTATGCAAAGTGAGAAGCTGTGCTGATAACCTACTTGTCTTTTTAAGTAGTTAAGATCACACTACAGATCTAACTTTGTAGCCATTCCAAACAGTGTTTCCATTGCACTTACAGCTAACATGAGGCTCAGATGAACACAGGAGCTAACCTGGGTGGGGAACAAGGGCAGCAGAGAGATCGGTCTCTGAATAAGTCAGTCCTTGTCACCTTTCAGGCTGCTTCTGGAAACAAAATTGGTATTGTTAGTTCAACTTGAACATTTCTGGAAATCCTTGCATTTTACTATGACAACCACTTAAAATTCTATAGTTGGTGAGATTCGTTGAAGAACTTTACCTGGTGCGTTTTAAATGGGGATACTAAGAAGAATATCGGCAAAGTAATAGCAAAGCTCAATGTGGCTCTGTAGAGTTACATGAGTGTCAGTAAGGACTGCAGGCAGAGTGAGAGATGAGGCTCTAAGATGAAAACTGAAGGCCATTTAAGAAGAGGCAAGAGCAGAGAATTTTGTCAAATCATGCAAAATCCCAAGAACAAATTCAGGGAGTCCATGGAAGAGGCTAGAGGAATAGGCTCAGAGGAATAAAACAGAGGTAAGGAGTGGGGGGAATGGGTGCATGTGGGGGGTGATATGTGGAAATGAACACTTTCAAATCAACAACATTCTGTATGTATTGTAAGAGAATGAATGCGGAGGTTTAATAGGAAAACAGGATGATCAGGATTTGCCAAAATAGAACAGATGTTAGTAATGTTTTAAAGATTCAGCAGAACCCAGCAGAAGCAGCATGGATCGTGGTTGAGAAGGGACAACTACGAAGACTATTTATTTCTGAGATACTTTACAGCTTACTTGGGATGAAATCCTGATGTCCTTACATGATTCCCCCTACCCCAGTTAGCTTCAGCTAGGCTAGATTTCACCCTGCCATCCTCCTCCATAAGAAATGCCACTCCCCTTCTTCCCATCATTTTTCACATAGAAGTTGAATAAGAACAGGAACAAAACTACCAGCCTAGCAGAAAGCAGACAGTGAAGTTTCCAGTTACCAGTAGAAGTGAAAGAAGAGCAAGGCAAGACTTACATTTTAGCTAACCTGAGCTTAAGACGACAACATAGTATCTATGAGGGATCATCAAACCAGCAAGACTGGACACGGAAAGTAAGGTATGATTGTACAGAGGCAAAACTGAAATCGCATGAATATGAAAATATCACCAGAAGCTAACGTGCACTGAAGAGGGAAGGTCCTCTACAATGTGCTGTGGAGAGATACTCAAACCAAGTATTTTGATCTGGCCAGTTAGCCTTATACTACTTTTTTTTTTTTTTTTTTCCTTCTCACTGCTGCTGCACCCATCCCCATTCTACAGTGTGCTCTATAGTACAAGTCCATTCTAATGAACTGCCCAATAATTTTTTCATTGTCATTTTGTATTTTGAGGAAAAATATAAAAATCTTCCTGCTGTTTCAGGATTAACTGTGATAAGGATCATGGCACAAAAACCCCCCACAGCTAATGATTCCTTCATACCAACATGAATTTCATCCTAAATTCTGCCAGAACCTAGATTTTGCATTATGTTTGCAGCAAGTTAAGCATGTCAGGCTTAATGCACATCCCAGTCCAAATAAGGGGTTTTTCCTTGGGAAGGTTAAAACAAGTTTGGGATATGACCTAAATTAAGATTTCAGTAAGATTCCAGAACAGCAAAAGCATATTAAAAAATCATAGGTTTTCTTTCATTTTCCAACATCCCTTTATAGTTTCCAGTCTACATTCATCTGTTCCACTGCATACCACAAAAACCATATATAATAGGGTACTAAGTTGGTAACAATAAGGACACTATCACCAGAAAGCTCTGTTATCTGAAGCGGACAGAAAGCAGCCACCAACTGAAGAAGCAGAATTTGAGCCATGAACTTTTAGGATCAGGAACCATATCCTCTTCTGCGTTTGCACAGCATCAGTTACACCAATAGAACTGATGAGCCATTTTCCCAGTCTTCTGTATTTTAGCATTTTAGTAGATGTTTAGTTAATTTTAAAATAATAATAATTTAAAAATCCACAACAAAACGACTAGAAGATCTAATCAATATAAACATTTCTGAAATAAAGTCCCAAACGACTCATTCTCACCGTTGGAGCCTCACATATCGGGGCAGCCTATTTTTCATGGTTCACAATTGCTTGCCACCATGTTTTAATGGATAGCACATCCATAAAAAGGCACTAACCAAGTTTATACTGCTCTATGATTTAATACATGCTATTGACTAATAATTAGTTTTGAAGAGGCGTTCTGCCAGATGAGCGAGATAGGACGATTATCAAATCCTTATGGCTTGGAAAGAAGTCATTCTCCTCACGTAAAAATAACAGCGCAAGTTTTGAGCATCCCTCCTCCGTGCGAGGCAGTCAGCCTCTGCCCCAGTCACCCCGACTGACCTCCGCGACCCGCGCTCGGATCCCCCGGCACGTTTTCCTCACAACGAGAGTATTCAGTCCGGAAAAAAAAAAAAAAAAAAAAAAAAAAAAGAGGGGTAGGAAAACATACCAAACAGAAGAGGAGCAAGACGCTTGGCTTCACCTTCCCTTCCTCAAAACACAACATCCATTGAGGCAGGAGAAACCACCCTGGGCGCTAAAACAAGAGCTGCATTCACGGCTACCGGGCTTAGCAGCTTGCGGGAGCGCACTCCGGGCGTGAGCTCCTCCAGCCCCCAGGACCGGCCAGCTAAAACAGAAATCAACCCCCAGCTCCTTTACCGCTTGGGGAGGAAAGAGACGGGAACGCGGACCCATTGAATCACTCTATCATTAAGCAGTTATGATTAAGAGCTTTCCCTGCGCTCGCGGGACAGTTTTTAGGCACCAGGCGTTGTGAGGACGGAGCTACGGTCCGGTTTTCCCGCGGAGCCCACTGGCTTTGCAGCCTGGCAGCACGCCTCCTCCTCCTCCTCCTCCCGCCCAAAGGCGCGGTATTTTCCGCTCCGAAGCGCCCAGCAGCACCTGCTGCCGCCGCCGCCGCCCGGCACCCCCCGGCCGCGGCCCCGGCGGCGCCCGTTGTACCTGCAGGATCTTGTCCAGCCCCTCTTGGCCCAGGCAAGGGAACTGCTTGAGCAGCTCCGTCTTCTGCCGCTTGTAGTCGTCGGTGGCCGAGCGCCAGTGCGGCTCTTCCAGCACCTCGAAGATCGCCGCCCCGATGGACAGGTAGAAGATGATGGCCGAGGTCAGCAAGGGGCCCCTGTCCACCATGGTGCCGGCCGGGAAGGCGGGCGGAGCGCGGCGGGCGGTTGCGGGCGGCTGCCCCGCGCTGCGGCCGTGGGCGCCCGAACCCGACCTGTCCTTCCCCTGACACCTCTGCCTTCCCCCGCCGTCCGCCGTGCCTCCTCTCCCGGCCTCTGCCGCGTTCCCTTAGAGTCTTCCACACTCCCCTCCCACTCTCTTCTCCTCCTCCCTCCTTTCCTCCCTCCTCCGCTCCGCTCCACTCCCCCCGGCTGCCTCCTTCCCCCAGTTTTCTCCCCTCCCTCCTCAGAGGCGATTTGAATTTGTTGCCCTCCCGCTTCCCCCCCCCACACACACACCCCACACACACCCGCCCGCGCATGCGGGGTCGCCGCCGGGACGCCCCGGGGTGCTCCCGGTCCCACCGCGGGCTGGGCCGGCCCCGCGGCCCCCGGGGAGGGGCGGCCGGTCCCCCCGCGGGGCGGGAGGGCGGCGGTTGGGTCCGGCCGTCGCCATCGCCCGTGAGGGGCCGCCTGGGGGCAGGGGAGCGGGGCCGCGACCTCCCGCCCTGCCCGCGCGGCCGTTGGGAGCGGGTGTGGGGGCCGCGGAGGTGAGGCCGGCCCCGGGCCGCCATCCCCGCTGAGCAGGGTAGTCCCCGCGCCCGGAGCCGTGCTTTCCCCTCGAGTCAAGGGAAGAAGGGGTAACGTCCCTCAAGTTTTACTTCGCTTTTTCCCCCACGCTGCTAGGTTCAGCGGAGTTTCCCGTTTTCGACACCGCCGGGCTGTGAAAGGAGAGCTGCGGCTTCCCTGCATCCAGCGAGGTGCGGGGGAGGCGAGCAGGAGCTCTGAGGAGAAAGGCGAGGGCTGCCGGCAGGTTTCACCCCTTCCCCGAGATGTTGACCACACGTGTGCGTTACGGATCCTTCACAGCAGGAACTGTATCACCCTTCATGCATTTTGTACATTCAATAAACCTTCCTATGGATTGCCTGTGCGTGTGCCTATGAGTTTGGGGGTGAGGGAGAGACCCCCAACTAGTGATTTTTCCACTCAAAATCCAATCGGGGCTGAAGCCCTCTGGAAGCTCGCCTAGTTTGTGAAGCCCTTCCCAGGAGCTTACTCCAGCCACGCACAAGCGCTCGCTCCTCCGTGTCCACGCTTGCAGAGGGAAGGCAACTTGACTGTTCTGAACGAATGGGGCTGGAAATGGGGTAAATGGGTCAGGGAAAAAGCAAGTCACGGAGAGGATATAGCGGTATGTTATGCACCCTCTCAAAGTGCTTCTATTGTAGACACCGTTAATTTTATCAACACTGTTTTAGTGGGGGTAACTTATTTTCTGCCTTCTCCAGCCTTCCCCCACCCCTCCCTGATAGGAAGAAAACACTCAAAAATACAGTTGTCCATATCAACTGCATCAACACCATGGATTTTGGGATGTATATGTATGTTAGCTGGAGTCCACACACCAGAAGGCTGAGATAAGCCAGCTGAAATTTCTCATGTGGACATAGTTGAAATGGGAGGCAGGAAAATGGGGAAGATGAAGGAAACAAGTAGAAAATACACAACAGAGTATGAGAAAACAAAAAGGTGAGCACCTGGAAGGCAAAGGAACGTGCCTTGGTTAGGAGGTATCCAGAAACATCTATGTGTACAACTTTGAATCATGCCCAATGGATGCTCTTGTGAGATTGCCCACAGAAAATTACATGGCCCTTAAGCAGTCCTTCCTACTAACGTGTATACTGCTCAGTGAAAATACATCTGCAAGAGGTTCCTGGCAGCCTAAAAGGAGGACTGGAGAAACCACAAAATCCACAAGCATGTTACGTGATCAGCATCACCAGCTTTGCATGGGATTCCCCAGTTATGTAAAGAAAACATAAGAAGAGAAAAGGATTGCCAAACTGCAATAGCAAAAAAAAAAAAAAAAAAAAAGCGCATTTATATGATCAAGTAGAAGGCATCATAATAAACACTGGGGGATGTTTCACAAAGTTGCAAGGCAGAACTTTTCATTAAAAGGAAAGGAAGAATTTCATGATGCATAATTACCACATGAAAATTATTCTCAGGTGTTATCACTTGGCCCAAGACCTTTGCAAAACTTGAAAAGCCATTGGCCACATAAATGAGTAATGTGAGCATCCATCATTGCCTCACTAATTTAAAATTAAAGTTAAAAACTGAAAGGTATGTAAATACTTATGGCAAATGACTGGAAGTATTGAGGAAGAGCTCTTCCCACAGGTAAACTATGATAGAATTTTTCTTTTGGTGCTCTTGTATCTTTTTCTGTGTCACCTGCAAATGGTTAGGTTTTTCCAACAGCAGCATCAGTAGCCTGACACATTACAGCAATATTACACTTGTGTGTTCCTGACCCTGAACATCTGTGCTTTGTAACTGGAAGGTATTTGATTAAATTTTGAAACTGTACTCTTCTCCATCTGTCTCTAAGTCTCTAAAGGTCCATTTATACTACTGAAACACTATCTTAAAGGCACAAGGTATGACACAAATGACCCTGAACCTACCGCAATTATAAAGTGCAGATGAAAGTAAAAACTTTCAGGTATTTTATAGAAAGTTTGTTTGCAATTTTGAATCAACATTTCTACTTTCCACTCAGAACTCCCAATCACTGTTTGCATAATTAGTGCTCTCAGTAACTGAGTCAGTCAGCGATTAAAAACAAACCAACCTGTAAATCACATACCATTTTTCCCTGTGTTGAAATGCTATCATGCTTGTTAGACTGTCTCCTTGTGTTTCTCTGAGTTTCAGAGAGGTGAGCCTGGTAAGGAACACCATCCAGAAGAATAGTTTATTCCCCAAAGAACCGTAGCCAACTGCTCCTACAAGCAGAGAAGATCCTCTGAGTATCAACAAACTTCTTGCATTTAGATATTTCACTTTGATTCCTTTGTCTTTTGCAGAACAAGGCATAATTTCATGCTGCTGCCCAAGTGAGTGTGGCAAGAGGAATGTTTTCTGTAGCTGGCCTCTCTTTGCACCTCTTGATCTAAAATGCCTCTCCTGACCTCATAAAAGATCCCATATCCTTTTATTCATGGCCCTTTTCTAACTCTCTGTTTCCCTTGGATTAAACAGTACCCCTATTGTTAACCCACAGCACCTGCCACATAGGCCCCACAGCTTTTCATGCTAGCTAAGTTAATGAAAAGGCTGGGGTTATTCACTCAAAGGGTTTTAAATCTCATTTAAAAATCAGGGCAGAAACAGCAGATAGCACTGTGGTGAGCAATACCACAAGTATCAATCATTTGTATTATTTGCATAGGTCATTATTTCAGGCTGTCCAGTCCAAGAGGAAATCTCTTTCATCCAAGCTGTATGTCTAAGACACATTTGCTGTACAGATGTTTCCTAGAACAGGCTGAAATTAATGAATAAATGTCAGAAAATGTTTTAGGTGAGGCAAATAAAAGACATTTGGGCAAAGGAAACCTGTCATGTAGTGGCAAAGAGTGCATGTTGTACTGAGCATGAACCACAAGCCTCTCTTCAAGCCTCTGACATTTTTTACTTGGAAATCTATTTTTGATTGGTTGATGTCTCTCTTCTTGATGATGCCAGTCAACTCTGCATCATTCATTTTTCTTCAGCCATCGAAATTTGGACACCTTCAACACTGCTTTCAAGTGTTACACATCAAGCCATGTATGGTTTTAAGTAAGCTGAGGGGTGTACTATCATGACAAGCAGTTTGGCTTCTTTGGTACAGTTTGGTGCATACAGAAAGGTTAAGGCTGGTCTGCAGATGATGCAGAATTTCATATGAGACATTTGTAGAAAGTTCGGAAATTCACCATGGGATTGTTCACACCTCTTGGACTAAGTATTTACATATAGCACGTTTGGTGCCCTGAATGTACAGCAAAATATGCAAAATACTACTAAAAAAAAGAATAAAAAACTTTACCAAAACAACGTGCATACCACTGCAACAGACTTCTTCACCCATGGACAGATAATGAGTGAACAAACACCACATGACAGATGTTAGTCATGCTGCTTAATGAATAACTGGTGATGAGTACAATACCTGTGTGGAATGGCTGTAATGTGTTCAAGGAAAAATAGGCATTTGGATCATCAGTTTTTCACTAAGATACCTGTAGTGTTCGAGAGAAATGTCTTCATCAGGAAGTCCAAGTATTTCAGCATTTTTTTCTGCGTATATTTCCTTGACTGCCTTGTTCCTCAGCCGTCCACAGCAGTCATTGGATCTTCAGACCCGGATGATGAAACCCAGTTTCCTTCAAAATACTCTACACTTTCTGCTTCACCATGTCCTCGGTCTTGCAGACAAACACTGGTAGTACCAAATGCTTATGATAGTCCTTCACGCTGACATTCATGTCAGTGATTAGAAAATTCAGCGTACAGCTGTACAAAAAAATCTCAGCTTGGATAATGCCAGTCCTGGACTGGGTTTTATCATCATGATACCTGGAGCACATTACTATTCTAGAAAGTATGCTCAAAGCTAGCTGAGCACCATGGTAACAGTCAGTGAATAATGCAACAATCTGTTATTTTGTTATGTAAAACATCACTGTCAAGTCTTTTTTTGTGTGTGTGTCATTAAGAAGGAGTTAAATTCTGTTTGTGTACAGTAATATGGATGAATGTCTGCACATTGCTCTGAGACTTGTTTCCCAAACCAGTTTAAATTAACTTTTATCAATCTCGTGTCATGCAGTGCAAAAGTCTTCTTCAGTGTTACAGCGTCTGCCTGAATGTGACGGGGGCAGATTACAGAGGAGAATTCAAAGAGCTGTTGGCCTCCCCTGTCTCCCCGTCGGGTTGTGCAGCTGCATGTCTGTGTGCCAGGTTGTGCAATGGAGGGCCTTGTGTGTGACCGGGCAGTTCTCACATCCACATCGGGCTCCCTTCCATGCCTGGTGTGTAGTGCTCGCGTTTTGTTAGTCAACATGCCTCAAGAGCTGTTCCCACCTACCTGTTCCCTTTATAGAAACAAAGTCACCACATTAATTTTGGCAGAGGAAAAGCAGAGGGAAGTTTGATGGCTTTTTTTTTTTCCCCTCTTGGGTGAATAATGTCTTGAGGATAGCAAATGAGGACAGCTATAGACCCTAAAAACATCGAAAACATTCTTATTATCTATTCTGTTCCAAATCCTGCAGCAACAGCTTGTGAGGTTAGATTTAGTCTTATCTGGGGGAAAAAAAGATTGAGTAAGCAAGCAAGAGAGTTGGCTACATACAGTTAAAGGAATATGAATTTTTAAGAATTTTTTTCTATGGACACCAGTTGCTTTTGTGCTTGGTGTCCAGAAATTAAATAAGGGACATGGCCCACACTGTCTCCAGGCATGTGCCTCTTATTTCTAAGCTTAAAGGAGTTTTGTAAGAAGACAGGAGTTCCTGGCATAGTCTACCTCCACAGCCCATTCACCTGTCACATGGTCCTTTGTGGTTCCTCCTCCACCATGTGTGGTATCAGGAAAGAAGACGGCAAAGGCTGAGCCATAACACCCACAGCTGTCCTGCAAATGAAGTGCTTGCAAGCTGTTTATGGCTTTTAACTTATGGTTTTTAACCTCCTAGACCATTATCAGGACAGATATTAAGAGGGTTTAGAGGGAACTTGAATTTCAGTGTTTGTTGCCTTCCAGTGGTGCCTCTCACATGACAAAACCCAGTGTAGAATCAGCAAGCAAATCCAGGTCACTAGCAGCTATGACTCTAGGAAGTCAGCTTGGCACAGAAATGACTGAGTTAGAACATCAGGAAAAAACCCACCTGTTCTAGTGCTTTGGTCAACGGCTAGACTGTTGTCACTGCTGCAAGCAAAAAAGCTGCCTGCACGTTACAACTTCCTGGTCCTGGTCTCATGGTGCATGGAGCACCACGCTCTTGGCTCTCAATGGGTTTTCAGGGATGTGTGTGGAGGGTCACAGTCAGTTGCAAGATAACACATGAATGAGGTGGTAAAGC